AAAAAAAAAAAAAGAAAACTGCACAGGTGAATCAGAAAGGATACTGTCAGTCTGGTTTCTTGGGAGTGAAAATAATGGGCCATAACACAATCTGTCTCAAAACTTTCACAGCGACCCACATGCTATTTTGTTTTATATATTAACCCCTTCTTGGAATTAACAATGATATTCACCCACATACAAGATGTCCTGCACAATGGTTATCTGTTCATTCAGCATTTGATTATCTCTTCTATGAGCTGAGCTTGAAAATGATGCAGACACAAATAATTCAAATTATTTTGTTTATACTATCCACTTAAAATATTTTCCTATAAATGTACTAAAATATATAACATATATTTAGAAACCGCTTTTTTTCCCAATCTGTTTCTTAATTTAAGTTTTTTCTTTTTTGGTGGAGACAAGGCCCATTTTCCCAGGCTGGTCTCTAACCTCTGGCCTCAATCAATCTTCCCTTGGCCTCCAAAAGTGCTGGGATGACAGGTATAAGCCACTACAACCAGCCTTATGTGAACTCTTAATATCTGACTTTGATATCAGTACCACTACCTGATCTGCTTTTGAGTCATCCAGTAGTCTCCTGGAGCAATCATTACTTCTGCTTAAATTATTTAGTATACAGAATTTCTAAAAATTTCTTACTTTGTGTCTATCCAAAGGCACAATAATTTGAGCTTTTTTCATTAGACCTACAATAACACTCATGATGTCTAAAACTTATTCCCTAAAGTAATCTTTAAGAGCTTTGCTTGTATCAACAGGAGGTTAGGCTATATCCCCAGGAATAATTACTACATTTGTGTTAGATTTGTCAAACCTTTTAACTAAATCAACACATGACTTCTACAGCAAAACTACCTGATGTAGATTATTTTAGGCTTATGTGAGGTTCCCAAACAATACTTCGCTGATCAAAACAAATACATGAAAGACCATATTGACTTTAACTTAAGGTATAGCAAGTGTTTAGTGTCTTCATATTTCACAAAAGTTATTTAAAATAAAAAGGCATAGTTACCTTTAACCCTCTTGCCATGTTCAAAGCAACTTTTAAAATTATGGCTGCTGGAAAAGGATCTCCACTGTCTTTATTTCGTTCTTCTATTAAGTCATTTAAAGACTTTTCACCTCCATATTCCATAGCAAGACATAGACTTCCATCATTAGCTTCAGTAAAAGCACGATAGCCTTAAAAAAAAATTCCTTTACTAGTACAGGGAAAAACAATAGTATTTAACTCTTTTACAGTGACATGACTGAAAACATGAATCTGGACTAACAATGACAAATATACCAAGAAACATATTGTCAACAAAACTAATTAGGTCTAATTTAAAATGTCTTAAGTATTTGCCAATAATACCACAAATTAAAATTCTTTACTATGGGTGGCGCCCGCAGCTCAGTGTGTAGGGTGCCAGCCACATACACCAAGGCTGGTGGGTTTGAACCTGGCATGGGCCAGCTAAAACAACAATGACAACTGCAACAACAACAAAAAAGTAGCCAGGCATTATGATAGGCTCCTGTAGTCCCAGCTATTTGGAAGGCTGAGGTGAGATAATCACTTAAGCCCAAAAGTTTGAGGTTGCTGTGAGCTATGATGCCACAGCATTCTACCCAGGGCGACAGCTTGAGACTCTATCTAAAAAAAAAAAAAAAAATTCTTTATTATTCTATACTTCCTTAAATATAATAGTTTCACCAGTCCTATTCATTATTGATATTAAAAATACAAAATGAAAACTAGGAAGTTAAGGATTACTTTTATATTCCTGAAATCTCAATAGTACCAGCATTATATAGAAATAAGGACTATATCTATTCCATGAAGTTTAAATATATACTAAGTCTCTAAAGATAGCATCTGAATTTTTATTTCAGACTGATCACATTAATGTGATTCATGACAACCTCTAGCCCCATCCTCTTCATTTTTGTCACTGAAACCAATTAAGAGAGTATATAAACTGTTACTAGATAAAAAGAATAATATTAGACCAGATACTGCTAAATTTAAACTTACCTATAATGTTTGGATGGTGAAGGCTTTTCAAAATCTTAGCTTCATCGATTAATCTCTTTTGGTACACACTTCGATAATGATCATTACATACAGGATTAATCTTTTTCACTGCCCAAGGAGAATGAGACAAACCCTTTGGAGATCTAAAAATAATTAACAATAGAAATGACTAAAAAGAACTTGCAAATTTTGAAAAGGACTTGACAGTAATTTATTTTTTTGAGTAATATTTAAAATATTTTAGAATATATTTCCACTTCAATTGGGAGACAAGTATCTGATATACTGAGAGAAGTCTGCTGTCTATACACTAGAAGGGAAGGGATGAAAAGAGAACTGAAAGGGTAAGGATGGAATGTTAATAAATGTTAAACTTGAAAACTGCCAGTTCTCTATTTTCGAATTTCTCCAATTTCTCTAAGAGTTGTTAGACTACCAACTCTTTAACAAACACTTAACTATATAGGCAGAGATGAGTTATAGGATGCTAAAGTAATAAACACTAATCTCTAGGAAATTTAAAGAACAGATGTTCAAAAACGTCTGGCCCATATATTACCATCTAAAGAGCAGCATATAGTTCTTTACCAACAAATACTGTACCTCTGCACTGACCAATTCACCTTCTACCTTTCACTACATGCTCAAAAGACATGCACTTAAGGAGATAATAATGAATATACAAATGAGGAAAATGAAAACTATTTTTCTGGGAAGATTCAGCCATTTTAAGAACAGTTAAAGTATAAATATTTTAGGGCCTAAATAAAAAAATAGGTAAAACAAAGGAAAGGGTATACCTGACAAGGCAGCCTCTATTTGAGCACAGCAAATCACAAAAGACAAAGTATATGTAGCATAAGGACACAATCAAGTTAAAGAGCCTCAACGTTCAAGACAAATGGTTTAACCACAGAACAAAAAATGACTGAACCAAAGTTCTACTTAGCTTTGTACTCCTTCACGGGCACATATCTGATTATAGTACCTTTTTTGTTTATTTAATTGAAAAGCCTATAGTGAAAAGAGCACAGGATTTCTTATTTTATATGTATCTATCATCCATAAATTTAATCTTAAACCTTCAGTTTAGATAAATGGCATTGGGGATAACCTCTTCCATATCATTTTATTGTGAAAAAACATGTTTTTCTAGTTTCAAGGGTTTTCTAATAGCTCTTGAATATTTAGATTCAATGAACAAGCCATCTTTGCCTTTTCCAAACAAATCCTAATTTACAGAATGACAAGAACATTTATGAAATCTGAATAAAATACTAATACTTGGCCAAGCCAAAAGTTCATTAAAATGATGAATAAAAAACAAGCAAATTACTGATGAAAATACACAAAAAAAACTCAGGAGATACAATATTACAAATAAAAATGGGGACATATTACACATAAAGCAGAGAAACAAGTAAACCCTAAAACCTTTACGCTAATTCTTTAAAAGATTAAATGAACAAGTTCTTAGAAAAATCTAAGAAAAGTGATTAAAGAAAAAATTGAATCAACAGTTTAATGATCATTCCCATAAGAAATACAAGGCATAATTTGATTTTACAGGTGAGTTTATTCCGGTGAGTTTTCTATTCTCCAAGGAATAGAAAAAAAGGACTATGAGTCCAGTATAGTTAATAAAAAGAATAAAATCAGGGAAAGCAGAATCAAGCCAATCACTTATAGAAAAATTCCAAACAAATACTTAGCAAACTGAACCCACTAGTTTATTTTAAAATAATCAAAATTTATGTTAGATTTAATCTAGGGATGCGAACTTGATTTAACATTAAAAAATAAAGACTTCTGGATTAAAATTACAGCTTAAATGTACATATAATTTTCATCCTCTCTAATTCCACTAAAATAAGAGCAACTGGATATGTTAAGACATATACCCACTAACAAGATGGAAATAACATCAGAGAAGACAAAGCAATAAAACTTCAGAAGCTGGAAAGCAGATGGAAGTAACCGACTTCACAGTCCAAGGAACTTCCTGCTGGTTATCTGAGTGGCAGCACATTTCTAGATACCCTCCCCAATTCTGCACAGTAGGCAGTCCACCCCCATTTTTAAAACCCCACCTTCAACTGGGCAGTGCCTGTGGCTCAGTGAGTAGCATGATGGCCCTATATACCAAGGGTGACAGGTTCAAACGGTCAAGGCCAAACTGCAACAAAAAGTAGCCAGGCTACTGTGGCAGGTGCCTGTAGTCCCAGCTACCCCAGAGGCTGAGGCAAGAGAATCACCTAAGCCTAAGAGCTGGAGGTTGCTGTGAGCTATGATGCCATAGCAGTCTACTGAGGGTGACAAAGTGACACTCTTGTCTCAAAAAATAAATAAATAAATAAACCCACCTTCAGCTTCTGAAGACAGGAGCCTGGCTTTCAGAGAGGTTAAAACTGAGTCTTTAGCCAGTTAAGAACCTACGAACTGGCGCGGCACCTGCCACATACACCTAAGGTGGCGGGTTCCTTATAGAAGAAATTAGCTTGGGAAGGCAACTCTCTAGATAGAAGAAGTATCAGTCATTAACATCCCACCACATTAACTTCCCCTTTGAGGTTTTCTTCCAAGAATCTTGTGTTAATACCACAAAGGAACCCTTTCCTCTGCCACTTCCCTTTACAGAAGCCAAGAAAAAATTATAAAGTTAAACTCCTTCACCTTCAGGACAAAGCAAAGATAAAGGAGCTCAGGCAGAGCTCTGGCAAAGTTATAAAAGGTTCTAGGGGCTGGAATATAGCATTCAGGTAAATCAGGAACATACCCCAGATCTAAGTATTTCAATTTTCATATTCCTTAGTCTCTAAGTATAGCAGAACTACAGTTCCACATAAAAAGAGTAATCTGAAATCTTATACTCACCTTTTCATCAGGTAAACATTTACCCCAGTACCAAAGCCAAGCTTCTGCATAAATGGAGAGGCGGGGATGTTTATACATGGAGTTGAACATAATACTAAGTGTCACAAAGAGAAATAAAAAAATTAGTATTGGCAAAGATCTATACAAAAGCATCCTAACATTCCTTTTTGGGGGGGTGGGGGGCAGGGACAGAGTCTCACTTTGTCATCCTGGGTACAGTACTGCGATATCATAGCTTACAGCATCTTCAAGCTCTTAGGCTAAAGTAATTCTCTTGCCTTAGCCTCCCAAGTAGCTGAGACTACAGGTACCTGGCTATTTTTAGAGATGGGGTCTTGCTCTTACTCAGGCTGGTCTCGAACCTGCGAGCTCAGGCAACCCACCTGCCTTGGCCTCCCAGAGTGCTAGAATTACAGGCATGAGAGTATGAGCCACAACACCCAGTCCCCTACTGCAAGGAGTATGAACTGGCATAGTCTTTTTGGAGAGTAATTTGACAGTATCTGTCCTAATTTTAAATAGATATTCTCTAAGCAAGTCTACTTTTGGAGCTCTAACCACAGTAACACTGAAGCAGAGGTTGGTAAATGGCTTGTTTTTGTACAGCCCACAAGCTAAAAGTTGTTTTTACATTTTTAAAGTGCTGTTAAAAAATAAAGAAGAATATGCAACAGACTCCTTATGTGATCCACAAAGCCTAAGCTAAGTACTGTCTGGCCCTTTACAAAAAGTTTCCTGACCCTTGTGCTACAGCAGGTACCCAAAGAGATGACACACGTACATGCATGCAGGCATATTCATTTGAACAGTGGGATTTGCTTTTGTGGCTGCAAACAAAAAAACCCTAAGTGATCATCATTAGCAGTATAATTACAGTATATATACAGAGCATTATTATTCAGTCACAAAAAAAACGAGATAGAAGAGTTCTGCTTCTGCTCATGAACAACTAATTGCTCCTGGAATTGCCATCTTGCCATGAACTAGAAGTGTACAGCCCAAATTGAGAAGACAGAGATCAGAGGTCAAGGAAGACTGGGTGGCTAGAATTTGTAGTGCAGAAAACTAAAGAGAAGAAAGCTCCAAAGAGACAGTAAATGCCCGATGGAACATGAAAGCGCCCATGCTCCCCAAAGATTCCTTTGAGTGTTTGGTTATTTATCTGCACATATAATCAGTAGACTCTGACTTCCCAAAGCTGAGAAAACACCAAGGAAAGCAACAGGCTAAGGAAAGGAAAGCAATTACAGGAGATCACACCAGTCTAGGAATAGTCCATGTTACCATAAGCCTGGGCATGGCAACACATAAAGTCAACTCCTGTAATGGATCACAATTTGGTAGTACAGATAAATTTTAGCCCAAGGGAAAGCTTATAAGCAAGTCTCAAAAGTAACAGGCTAATGTGGAGATTATTTAACATATCTAAATGAAATGATTTTTAAAGGAGTAACAAAATTCACCACTCAACAATGTAACATATTCACCATCCAGTCAAAAATCAGCAGGCATGAAAGAAGAAAATATGAACCATACCAGGAGAAAAACAAATCAAGAAATACATAAAGAGAAACATACCATAAAATGACAGGGATGGCAGAATTAGCAGAGAAGAAACTTAAGATAACAGATCTTAAAAATATGCTCAATGTAAAGGAAAATCTGAACATATCAAACAAAGAAAAAGATGAAACCTCAGGAATAAAAAAATACAATAGATAAAAATAGTATCATCTTAGAGCAGAAGGGTAACTAAATCTTATGACACCAAAACAAAAACTACCAGAAGTGAAGCAGAGAGAGAAAATGATTAGGAAAAAAAAAAAGTCACCAGTGAACTGTGGGACAATAGCCAAATAGCAGATTTAAGTCAAACTATTAATAATTACATTAAACGTAAATGGTCTACATAAACCTGCTGTCCAATAAACTTTCTGTCGTTAATAGAAATGTTCTGTATCTGTGTTGTCCAATAGTCATTAGCCACACCATATTTTGTGACTGAGCACTTGAAATGTAGCTAGTACAACTGATGAACTCAATTTGTAATTTAATTTTAATTAATTTGAATCCAAATTTAAACAGTCACATGTGGCTAGTCCAAAACAGTCCAATTAGAGGCAGAAATTATCAAAATGAACAAAACAAAACATAACCACGTTTATAATAAACTCACTTTAAAGATACAAATGGGGCAAAAGTAAAAGACAGGAAAACATAACACCGTTCAACAAGCACTAATCAAGATAAAGCTGGAGTAGTTTTATTACTATCATATAAAGTGGACTTCAGAACAAAGAATACCACCCAGGATAAAGATGGGCATTTCGTAATAATTAAGCTATAAATTCATCAAAAGAAATACCATCCTAAATATGTATGTATGTAATAACAATGCTTCAAAACACATGAAGCACAGAACTGGAGTTGGAGACTTCAGCACTCCCTCTCAGGGCCGAGTGTGGTGGCTCATGCCTGTAATCTCAGCACTCTGGGAGGCTGGGGGCTGGTGGATAGAGTTCAAATTCCTTGAGCTCACGAGTTTGAGACCAGCCTGCGCAAAAGAGAGACCCTGTCTCTACCAAAAATAGAAAAACTGAGGCAAGAGGATCGCTTGAGCCCAAGAGTTGGAGGTTGCTAGGAGCTATGATGCCACGGCACTCTACCCAGGGCAACAGCTGGAGACTGTGTCTCAAAATTTAAAAGAAAAAACCTCTCTCAGTAATTAACAGAGTAAGTAACATAGAAAACCAGTAGATGGATACAGAAGACCTGAACAAAACAATAAACAGGTCAGCTAGCTTGACCTAATTGACATTTATGGAATCTGCACCCAATAACAGTAGAAAATAAGACCTTTTTAAGTGAATATGGCATTCACTAAAATAGATAAACCTCAAGTCAGACTGATTAAGGAAAAAAAGAACATAAAATACCACTACCAGAAATAGACATTAGACGATTACAAGTGTATCATGAATAACTACGCCAATAAATTTTGCAACCTGGAAGAGACAAATTCCTTGACAAACACTAGCGAAGCTCACAAAGAAAAAATAGAACTTGAATAGCCCTGTATGGCTTAACTGAAATGACAGTTAAAATCTTCCTACTAAGATAACCCCAAGCCCACATGGCTTTACTGGTGAGTCCTACCAAACAATTTGGGAAAGAATAAAATACTATCACTTCTACACAAATGTTTAAAAAAAAAAAAAGGTATTTCTGTATGAGCAAAGAGAAGGAAAGACTTCTCATCTTACTTTATGATTACAGAATACCCTGATACAAAAACTAGATAGATATCCCAAAAAAAGACAACTATAGTCCAATATCCCTTAAGAATATAGAAATATGAGCAAATCAAATCAATATGTAGAATACATCACATCCAAACTGGCTTTACTCCAGCAATGAAAGTCTGCCTTAACATTTAATAATTAACAAAATTTACCACATGAAAAGATTAAAAAAGAAAAATTAATAGATCAGAAAAAGCACTTGACAAAGTTCAATAGCTATTCATGATAATAACCAGGAAAGGAGGGAAATTCCTCAACCCAATAAAGGGCATCTGCGAAAAACCTCTAACATATTACAATTACACCTTTTACTCAAAAATATACTGGAGCCAGTGCAATAAGGAAGGAAAAAGAAACAAAATCATACAGATTAGGTATAAAAGTAAAACTATCTTTATTCATCTACAACATGACCAACCATATATATTATCCTAAGCAATCCATAAAAAAGGTAAGAGAATAGGTGAATTTAGCATGGCTACAGGATATAAGGTTAATAGGTAAAAATTTATATACCAGAAACCGAAAACATTTTCTCATGTTGTTTTCTAGAAATTTAATAATTTTAGTGATTTGTGTATATGATGTAAGTTAAGGGTCAAGGTTCATTTTTGCGCGTGGATACCTGATGATTTGTTGAAAAGATTTTCCTTTGCCCATTGAATTGCCATGGAAAATACCTTCCCCTCACAGGAACAATGTACGTACTATGTATCAGAGGGAGAAAGGTAAAGGGGTTCCTTAATGATTCAAGCAAGCTAGGTTGATCCTTCAGCAGGGAGAACTTCCACATTTAGCCCAGATATGACCAAACCCTGGTCTATAAAATGTCTTATTTGTCAAGACTAACATAATAAAGGGGATTTATGCTAAAACTGTTTGTGCATGATAAATAACAATTAAAGGATCAAACTACAATATTAATACTTTTTTTTTTTGATAAGAGTCTCATTATGTCACCCTCAGTAGAGTGCCATAGTGTCACAGCTCACAGCAACCTCCAACTCTTGGGCTTAAGTGATTTTCTCGCCTCAGCCTCCCAAGTAGCTGGGACTACAGACACTCACCACAACGCCCGGCTATTTTTTTGTTGCAGTTGTCATTGTTTAGCTGGCCCGGACTGGGTTCGAACCCAGCCTGGGTATATGTGGCTGATGCTGTAACCACTGTACTACAGGCGCCAAGCCTAAAACTTTTTTCTTTTTTCTTCAGAGTTTCACGTTGTCACCCTAGGGTGCTCTAGAGTCATAGCTCACCGCAACCTCACATTCTGGGACTCAAGTGATCCTCTTGCCTCAGCCTCCAGAGTAGCTAGGACTATAGGCGCCTCCCACAACACCCAGCTATTTTTAGAAATGAGGACTCCCTCTTGTTCATACTGGTCTCCTACTCCTGAGCAATCTACCAGCCTCAGCTTCCCAGAGTGCTAGGATTATAGGCGTGAGCCAGCCAGGTAGGCCCTAAGACATTTCTAACAGCAATAACGAAAAACATTAATAAGAAAGGTCTTACACCTGCGATCTTACCAGATTTATTTTTTTCAGATAATTTACTTGGTGTCTTGAAATTACTGATTCCTTCCATTATAGTAACCACTCTAGGTCCTAAAAAGAAAATGAACTGAAAGTTAACACTGCAATTATAAAGAATACAACTCTATTCCTGAAAAATTTCCTATAACATTATCCCTCAATTTATCATATAAACATAAGATTTGGGAACTGAAAAAGACCTTGACAAATATTTAGTCCAATTTTATTTACAATGGGAAAACTGAAACCTAGAAGTACAATTTCTTATCCATGGTCAAACTATTAGTGATTGGATGCTTTTGTTTTAATTATAAAGTAATACATGCACTTGTTTAAAAGTAAAATAGTTTATCTTCCTCTCATACTTCCCACAAATAGCTCTCTTATATCCTTTAAAGCAGCAATCCCCTACCTTTTTGGCACTAGGAACAATTTTTCCTTGGGGGGAGATTAGATTCCCATAAGGAGTGTGCAATCTTGATCTCCTGCAAGACCAGTTAGGGTTCTCGCTTCTATGAGACTAATGCCTCAGCTGATCTGACAGAAGGTGGAGCTCAGATGGTGATGCCAGCAAAGGAAGTGGCATACAGATGAAGCTTTGCTCACTTGCCCCTGCTCACCTGCTGTGCAGGCCAGTTCCTAACAGGTTTTGGAGATAATCAGTCCACACCCAGTTTAAAGAAACTGCCAGCTGCATTATTCATAATGGCCCAAAACTAGAAAGAGAACTAACTATTCATCAGAGTGTAGAGGAAACTGAGCCCTGATCTTTAGCATAAGACTCGCTTTCTGCTTGAGAGGCCTGGAGAATCCCAAGAAAGGCATGTGAGTCGTGTGAGAGCAGATCAGAAAACTGGCCTCCCAGGGAACATGTGGGGCAATACCAGGCCTAATGATTATAGTAAAGTTTCTCTAGATTCCAAAGTTCTCTAGACACTACAGGCAGAGGTTTTGGTCAATGAGATTTTGCAAAACAAATTGGAGACACCCTTTTTTTAATGTGGGTAAGTAACTTTTAACTCATCTTTCCAGCTTTGTGATAATAGCGACTGAGGTTTACTCAGGAGGGCTCTTCCCAGAGTTCCTAAGTACTCTGCACAGACTCTGTGTCAAGCCTCTCCATTCCTGGCACCAAGTCTCCCTCTTCTGGTGACCCCAACCCCTTCCTCGGATGATGAATGGATAAACAAAATGTGGTATATCCACAGGAGACTGTCATTCAGTCATAAAAACTGGCAAACTAGGTGTGTCACTGAGACCAGGAGCCCAATTCTGGGTGCCTCATTAGATGTCTAAGTGGAAATGCTAAATAGGCAGCTGGGTATGGGTCTGGAATCCAAGGTAAAGATGTAAAATTGTGAGATTTCAGCACGCAGATGGCGTTAAAGCCAAGAAACTAGGTTAAGATCATCTGGGGAGTAAGTACAAACAAGCGTAGACAGAAAAGCAGTAGCGCGGGTTGGCGCCCATAGCTCAAGCGGCTAGGGTGCCAGCCACATACACCAGAGCTGGTAGGTTCGAATCCAGCCCAGGCCTGCCAAACAAAAATGACAACTACAACCAAAGAATAGCCAGGCATTGTGGTGGGTGCCTGTAGTCCCGAGCTACTTGGGAGGCTGAGGCAAGAGAATCGCTTAAGCCCAGGAGGTGGAGGTTGCTGTGAGCTGTAATGTGACAGCACTCTGCCCAGGGCGACAGTTTGAGGCTCTGTCTCAAAAAGAAAGACACGCAGTAGTCCCAGGACACCCCAAAACGAGAAATAACAAAGAGCAACCTGAGGAGGGACCAGCAAAGTGAAATACAAAAAGCTCTTGCAAGTAGGGTTGAATCACAAGGTTCTTGCAAAAATAACAGCATAAAACTGAATACGTTAGATAAAGATTCATTAGAAATGACAGCAAGGCGACTCTGGGCAAAACGACATATCAGTGGAACGCCTAATAAAGTTTTAACCATCAAATACTGTTTAAGAAGCAGCATTAATGAAAAAGCTGGCAGGGCTCCAGGTGGGAATCCATATGGATCAAATGTCCTTAACTCGTGGACGCTAAGACGCCCCGGGGCTCCCCAAGTATCTGGATACTACTGGCAAAGCTAAGGGGTAGACGGGAAGCCAAAAAACCAGAAAATAAAAGAATGAGGCGGGGGGGGTTAAGATGGTGAGAAAAGAGAAAACAGAAGCAGAAAGTCGGATGTCAAAGGGTCTTCACACCCCACAGCCTCCGTGGGCTCCTGGGGCGGAGGACCGGCAGTTCGTCCCCCGACAGGGGCTAACTAGGGCGGGTTGTTCACATTCTCCTTCTCGCGGGGCCCAAAGCCCAGCGCCCGGCCAGCCACGAAGGTCCCTCCCAGGCCCGCAGAAAAGCCCCGCTTACCAGAGTCGCACGGGTTGGGAAAAGAACGAGGCCTCTTGATACGCGGTCCCCGGCGGCCCCCAGGAGGACCCCGCAGCTGCCCGGGCGTCCGCGCGCGGAGGCGGCCGTTGCGATTTGAAGCCTCCCGGCTTTCAAACGGCCGCGCGTCGCCACGCCCCCGCCAGCCCGAGCTACGGAGCGCGGCGAAGGACACGGCGCGCCGGGTGCGCGGTTCCGCTGCCTTCCCGCCCCTCCGCTCCTACCCGCTTCAACAGCCGCCAAGTAGGGGCTCTTCCAAGGCTGTTGGAACCTATTAGGAAGAGACTATCAAACTTTTAGAGGAACACATTTTGGTTGAAAGACTATACCTGTGCTTGATTTGAAGGCTGAAGCTCTTCAAGCGTTTAAATCTGTGCTCAGAGTGTGTGATGGTAATTGTGTAGATTTTAGAACAGATTTACGTGGCCTTGAAAGGCGGTAACTACAAATGATGCTATTAGTTTATGATAACAATCGTGTTTGGCTGAGGAGAAAAATAGATATTTAAAAATTTGGTTAATTCTTCTAATTACTACATTCAGTTCAACATTCGGTTATTCAATAATCATATAGAGAGCACCTCCTATGTGGCAGGTGTGCACTGAATGCCCAGCTAATGGATATAGCTGTCACTCTGATACCGGAAAAGTGGCACCCCAGCCAGCTCAGCGGAGCAGGGCCTGGGGGACCTGCCACTTCTGTCTTGGTGGCAGCAGCCGGCAAAGAAACCGGCAGGTTGGGGCAAGCGAGGGAGCTTTCTTCTCCCAGAGGCTCCAGTAGAGCGGTGTTAGAGGACCTGTCAATCAAGGGAAAACTGGTGCCCATCCCTGATTGGTCCATTTTCAATCCTGCTCCTGATTGGTCCATTTTATGGACCAATCACACCTAAGCTATTACACCTATATAAGGCCCTGAGCAGAGCGTCTGGGGACAGATCGTTGCAGACCTTCCAGGAAGATAGAGAAGAAGGAGAAGACTTCAGCAGACCATCGCAGACCGTCCAGTGGAAGAAGCGAGAGCTGCGGCACTTCTAGTGTTGATCCTGCCCTACAAAGAGGCTTGGCTCTTTGTAGGAGTTGTAACGCTTGAGCTGTAGCTGTAACACCTCTGCTGCTGATCCTGCTCTACAAAGAGGCTTGGCCCTTTGTAAGAGTTCTTTTCATAAACTCGTATCCTGCCCTGTAAGGAGGTTTGGTTCTTTGAGCCACTGTTTGACCTATAGTCTGTCGATTTCATTCGTCAATCGTTGAGACCAAAAGCCTGGTAAATCCAGTGTTAAAAATCTGGTATCAGGCTCAGCGCCTATAGCTCAACCGGCTAAGGCGCCAGCCACGTACACCTAAGGTGGCGGGTTCGAATCCCCAGCCTGGGCCTGCCAAACAACAATGACGGCTGCAACCAAAAAATAGCTGGGCATTGTGGCAGGTGCCTGCAGTCCCAGCTACTTGGGAGGCAGAGGCAGGAGACTCGCTTGAGCCCAGGAGTTGGAGGTTGCTGTGAGCTATAATTCCACGGCACTCTACCCAGGGGGACCAGCTTGAGGCTCTGTCTCAAAAAAAAAAAAAAAATCCGGTATCAACTCCAAGAGAGAGAAGGAGATTAAGTCACAGAATTTTTCCTGCTCAGGAGGCAGGCTTAGAGTCCCATGAGAGATGAAGAGCAGGGGAAGGGCCCTAAGGAAAGCACACAAAAATACTACAGAAGAGACTGGGTACTTCCGTAAGAAAAGCACAAGCATTGTGCTAAACATTCAAAAGGTGGTGACTGCTTTAATGGCTTGGGGAGAATCAGCCTTCATCATGGACCTAGAAGGATAGGGTTCTTTTTCTCCTAAGAATTTTTAGTATATAGTGACCTGGCACATATATTTTATTCTGTGTTTGTGCACATCCACATACATCTACTCTGTCTGTGTGTGAGATTCTGATACCAGATTTCTAACACTGGATTTCTAGGGTCTTGGTTTCAACAATTTGATGAATGAATCAATAGACCACAGAATGACCAAACCTCCCTGCAGGGTAGGATGCGAGTGTTACAACTCTCATGAAAATAACTCTTACAAAGAGCCAAGCCTCTTTGTAGAGTAGGATCAGCAGCTTCAGAAGTGTTCAGCAGAAGCGTTACAACTCCTACAAAGAGCCAAGCCTCTTTGTAGAGCAGGAGCAGCACTAGAAGCACCACAGCTCTGCTGGTTCTTCTTGGACGGTCTCCAATGGTCTGAAGTCCTGTTCTTCTGCTCTATCTTCCTTGAAGGTCTGCAAGGATCTGCCTCCAGGCTCTCTGCTCAGGGTCTTATATAGGTATAATAGCTTAGCTGTGATTGGTCTATAAAATGGACCAATCAGAAGCAGGATTGAAAATGGACCAATCAGGAATGGGCACCAGTTTTCCCTTGATTGACAGGTCCTCTAAAGCGGAGCCTCTGGGGGAAGAAAGCTCCCCCGCTTGCTCCAGCATGCAGGTTTCTTTGCCAGCTGCTGTCCCCAAGATGAGGTGGCAGGTTCCCTCCCAGGCCCTGCTTGGCTGAGCTGGCTGGGGCGCCACTTTTCCAGTATCAATTTCACTGCACTGTTCTGGTGAGATCAGTTTCATTGACATTAACTGCCTAATTACTTCTGAGCTTCAGAAAGCTTCTCAACCCGTCTTGGGCACTTTTTATATGCATGTTGGCCACTCTGTCCACAGGTCTATACAGGAATGGGGGCTCTTGCATGTTTCTTCACATACAATCATGAAGTATCTTTTTTTAAAAGTGGGGAGAGAAGTTTGTCTGGGTTTATACCTACATCCTGCTAGATCAGCCAATAAGAAGTTGTGATTGCTGTGTTCTGTGTGTTGTGTTAAACAGCTTTCAGAGATCTAGACCGGGAAGAAAGAGTCAATGAGGATAGTGAGGTGAGGAGGCTGAGCAGGAGGCTACCATAGTACCCCAGAGAGCCGGAGGTGGTACTTTCCCTCTTCCTACCCACTTCAGAATAAAATAGAGGGCCCAGCGCCTGTGGCTCAAGTGGCTAAGGCGCCAGCCACATACACCTAAGGTGGCAGGTTCGAATCCTCAGCCCGGGCCCGCCAAACAACAATGATGGCTGCAACCAAAAAATGGCCAGGCGTTGTGGCGGGCTCCTGTAGTCCCAGCTACTTGGGAGGCTGAGGCAGGAGACTCGCTTGAGCCCAGGAGTTGGAGGTTGCTGTGAGCGTGATGCCATGGCACTCTACCCAGGGGGATAGCTTGAGGCTCCGTCTCAAAAAAAAAAAAGAATAAAATAGAGGCCATTACAAACTCATGCTCAGCTTCTAACCTTCAAAGTCAGATCTATGTACATCTGTGACCTTTGTTGCCTCAACTTCCCTGCCTCAGGAGCAAAGGTCCTTCCTCTTGCCTAAGGTGATGAGTCAATCCACTATGCCCTGCAGCCCACCCTTTCCATCCCATGCCCCATTCAAACTCCCCCTCTCCTCTCCTGGGTTTTACCGTCACCCCCTCTTGTGGTCTTTTTTCTTCAAAATCAGAGAACAATAATAGCAAACACTTATTATTTATTGTGTGTCAGGCATTGTTTCATATATTAACCCATTTAATCCTACCAACAACCCTATGGTGTAGTTTCTATGATAATAAAATCCATTTTTCAAATGAGGAAACTGAGGCACAGAAAAGTTACGTAATTTACCTAAAGTCACAGAATAATAATTGGTAGAGCCAGGATTCGAACCCACATGAGCTTAGATTTCCTCTTTAACAGATGCTCTCAAAATCTCTTCCATCTTACTCATGCACACACACATGCACCCTTCCACCTCCAGGGCCATCTCATTTTTGGTCACCCTCTTCCAAGCATAGAACCCTAATATTTCTTCTAACCTTCCCTCTATTCTCATTCTAATATTTTTTGTGGAGGCATAATATTACAGACTTCTCCATCTTTTCTTTTAAAAACCTATAATCTAAAAAATCTACCTTTCTAATGAAGTCCTACATTTTTACAAGCCCTGTATTTTCTATTCTTACTGCCTTATAAAATCCTGCCTAAAGCCAGAGCCTGAAAGCTTCATAATTAACCACTGCTTGTGAAAAGAAACCCCAGGGAGATGAGGTTATCGACACAGGTGTAAGATGAGGCCAAAAGCATGCACAAGAATGAAGACTCTGGCTAAAGACTTATACTCATAACCGTCCTGTTCCCATCTTGTAATCATAAAAGAACCCCCAGAGATTATCTGTAGAAACATCTGAACTCCCCAAGTTTGAGGTTATCGCCTGTGCAATGCAACCATTAATCTTTAAACCTCACATACCAGTCAGTTGTCATGGGAAACAGCTTTCAACTTGGATCAGTTATTTCTTTCAGTGACTACATGGCTTGAATTCCTTGGCTTAGCAAAAAAACCCAGAACTCCATTTGCCTCTTGGCTGATTGGGCCCAAAGGAACATTGGCATTGTCACCTTTTTATGTTATAAACTCTAACTTCTGCTCCATTCAGGGCCTCACCTTTTGACTTTCAAGGGCCTAGTCTGAAAAAAAATTTTTTTAATTCATATATTTTCCTCTTTTTGGGGTATTCTTTTTCATTGCTGTTGCATTCTGATTCTCTGTGAGGCCATGTGGATGCTGCTGATTGGCTGGGAGAATATAGGGAGCATTTAGGAAAGAAGAAAAAGATCTTGAGATTTTATCTCATTACATCTGTGTATTCAGCCAATCAACTCGGCACATCCCAAGGGTGCTACTCAGGCCGCCAAAGCCACCAAGTCCTCAGGTGGGGCCACCAGAGCCTCCTTTCAGTGCTGTCCTCCTAGGAACCCTTTCTTTTACCCATTCAAGTTCTAATGACTCTTTCTTGCAATTCTAAAATCCTTTCCTTCCTCTACAACTCTGCTTTCTGTGCCTTGGATTATGGTTTTTTTGTTTGTTTGTTTTGTTTTGTTGCAGTTTTTGGCCAGGGTCAGGTTTGAACTCGAGGTGCAGTGCCCTACTCCTTGAGCCACAGGCCCCACCCTGTGCCTTGGATTATGAACCC